ACCAAGGGACAAAGTGGTTCATTAAAGGGTCCTGCTCCCGTTGCCACAACAGGGTGAGACCTTCCAACAGGGGTTGTCAGACACCCTGTACAGGAGCAATCCTACTGGCATCAGGCTGGTGCCCCTTGAGGTCAGAGGTCCCAGGTCTTGTCCCCCAAATTCCCACTCCTCCAGGGCCTGCTTCGACGATCCCGCGGGCTGGGATAAATCATGATTTCCAGAACGAAATCAATGTTGCTGTGTTATAAAAAACACTGCATTGAAAGAAGCGGTAGGTAAAGATTGGGTTGACCACAAGACTCTCTGCCACAATATTTATCTAGAAGCCCATAGTTGGCAACAAAGGTACCAGGCTAACATGAAATGTCTGCTATATGATGAAAACAAAGTCCAGAGGTGGGGCCAAGATGGCCTACTACAAGCAGCAGTGATTGGAGGCTCCCATCGAAAAACAAACATAATAAGCATGTGAATCCTTCACCAGGAACCGAGGTATCCAGGTTCTCTCATCAAAATTGACTAGAAGGCTAGCGTGACTTACAGAAAGAAGGAAGAGCAGTATGGTGCAGTTGCCCACCTGAGAGCCACACGAGGAAGGGGGATGCTCTCCCCTTAGGCAAGGGAGGTGGTGAGTGAGCGTGCTGCCCAGCCGGGGAAACTGCTTTTTCCATGGAACGGTGCAACCTACGGGTCGGAAGAGCCCACTGGGGAACCCACGCCACCAGGGCCTACCGTCCCAACTCGAGAAAGCGTAGATTCTTACAGCCTCTCAGCTAAAATCTGCTGAAGCCTACTGAACTCCTGGGGGCAGAGGAGCGACCAGCACTGGCTGCCACCTCCTGCTGTCTAAGCCATTTGAGCTCCCTGGGGGAGGGTCAGCAGCCAGCACTGGGACTGGCAACTGCCTAACAGGCTAAGCTCCCTGGGCGGGGGAAGGGCGGCACCCGTTTCTACAGCTCCAGGCTGTGCTTTTCCCCTGCTGGTGCCAGGGAGGCTGGATGGCTTGGTCCCAAGACTTGTCCCCACAGCCCTACACACAGTGGCAGCCACACACACACTGTGGCAGTCTGTGGCCAGAGTGCCTCTTCAGGTCTAACCCCCACCCATCCTTCCTCAGTGGTGGGGGAAGGGCTTCCCTGCAGGATCTCCAGTAACTCTAGCCAGAGGCTTAGGAACAGAATTCTGATCTCCCTGGGACTGAGCCCCTAGGGGGAGGGGTGGCTGCAGTCTCTGTGGACCAGCAGACTTAGTCTCTCCTCCTGGTATTTCTGAGGAATCAGGGCAACCCAGACAAGTGGGTTCCCCCGCAGTGAAACACACCCTCTCCACCAAGGGACAAAGTGGTTCATTAAAGGGTCCTGCTCCCGTTGCCACAACAGGGTGAGACCTTCCAACAGGGGTTGTCAGACACCCTGTACAGGAACAATCCTACTGGCATCAGGCTGGTGCCCCTTGAGGTCAGAGGTCCCAGGAGAAGAAGCAGGCACCCGTCTTTGCTGCTCTGCAGCCTCTTTGAGTGACATCTCCAGGCACAGCAGCAAATCAGATGAATAAGGCCTGAAGCAAACCCCCAGCAAACTGCAGCAGCCCTACAGAAGAGGTACCTGACTATTGAAAGAAAAACAAGCAGAAAGTGACAATAGTGTCATCAACAACAACAAAAAGGCCCCCACAGAAACCCCATCCAAGGGTCAGCAGCCACTAAGACTGAAACTGGACAAACTCACAAAGATGAGAAAGAATCAACGGAAAAAATGCTGAAAACCCAAAAGGCCAGAGTGCCTCTTCTCCTCCACAAGGGTGCAAAACTGGACGGAGGATCAGAGGGTCGAATTGACAGAAGTAGGCTTCAGAAGATGAGTAATAAAACTATGATGAGCTAAAGGAGCATGTTCTAACTCAATGCAAAGAAGCTAAGAATCTTGATAAAAGGTTAGAGAAATTGCTAACTAGAATAACCAGTTTAGAGAGGAACATTAAGGACCAGATGGTGCTGAGAAACACAACACGACAATGTCGTGAGGCATACACAGCTATCAGCAGCTGAATCAACTGAGTGGAAGAAAGGATATCAGAGTTTGAAGACCACCTTACTGAAATAAGACATGCTGACAAGAATAGAGAAAAAAGAATGAAAAGGAATGAACAAAGCCTCCAAGAAATATGGGACTTCATAAGAAGACCGAACCTACAATTGATTGGAGTACCAGAAGGAGATGGGGAGAATGGAAGCAAGCTGGAAAACACACTTTAGGATATTATCCAGGAGAACCTCCCCAGCCTAGCAAGATAGGCCAACATGCAAATTCGGGAAACACAGAGAACACCATTAAGATACTCCATGAGAAGATCAACCCCAAGAAAACAAAGTCCATTAGGGGTAGATAACTGAGAAAAGCTGTCTGAAGAGGGATCTAGGAATTTATTCTAGGTTTTGGTTCTATGTCATATCAGCCTTTTAAGAACCATTATTATCCCAAAGGCAGTGTGGGGCAGAAGCAAGTGTGCTGGCCTTAGAGTCAGGCTGTAGGGTTGGAAATCCGATTTTTCCTCTACTAGGTAGAAGACCTTTGGTAAGTTAACGCTTCAGGCCTCAGTTTCCCCATCTATAAAATGAGAATAGTAATGGTTCTTACTTCACAGGGTTATCGCAAAGATACATGAAGTAATGTGTGAAAAGACCTTAGGATAGTAGGTGCCATGTACTAAGTATCCAGTAAATGTTAGCTGTTAGGATTATTTTGTCCCACTGCTGAGTCAAGTCATGATGTGAAGCTTTTCCAATTTGCTTGATGATGGTTTGTACCAAAATCGTATTCTGTTGCAAGCAGATAAATTTGATCATCTGTTTCTGGGCAGTCTACAATGTGCTGTGCCATCAGATACATGTGCATCATAGATGTTAGCATTCCTACACACTGGAAAGGAGATTGTAAAAAAAGAAACTTCGAATTTTCTTTTTGCCAGTCTTGTGTCACCCCCTATATTCCAAAGTGCCTTATGAACAACATATGTAAATTTTCTCATTTAGTCCCTATGAAGGTAGTTGTTGTTTTTATTTAAAACATTGGAAAGTTTGAAAATCTAAAATCTGAAGGTTAAGAGGTAATATGACAACAAATTCATAAGCAAGAATTTGAACCCAGATATGTTTGAGACCCAAGGTTACACTGCCTTGAAATTTATAAATTAAAACGAGAGAATATGCATAATGTCTTTTTTTTTTTTTTTTTGAGAGGAGAGAGGGTTTGATATCCAAATGCTCATTCACAGATATAATATTTTATTTCCAATGTTTTTACCTAGAAGAACTTATGGGATAATAGAAATATCCAAAGTTTCCATAAATAAAATATATAACAGCTAAACCTTGTAGAGTTTAGACAACGGAAAGTATTACTGCATGGGTATTTAGTAGTCACATCTGCTCCCTAAGCAATAGAATAGAACAAAGAAGAATATCCAAAAAATTGGGGGAAGAAAAACAATCTTAAATTTAAAAGAAAATTAGTGAAGAGTTCAGATGAACTTGCAGCAGATATTAAGCCTGAAGTATCCACTCAGGGAGTCTGAGTATTTTGATACTTGGTAGTTTCCAGAACATAGGCGATCTCACCTGCCCTGGACTGAAACTAAGCCCTTTTTTTCCCTCTTTTGGGAAAACACCGATTTCCACCAGCAGCTGGTTGCTGTCTTGTTTTGTCTGCCTTCCTCTACCTGTGCAGGTAGCTTGGTCCCCACTTGCAATACGGGGCTATGAGAGAACATTGTAGTGAATCATCTTGCCCTAAGGCATTGCCCATGACACACGCTTTCCTATAAGGCATACCTTACTGTTTAGGATCTGGAAAACCCTCTGCTGCAGTGTCTGGCCAGCCTTGGGCCTCACAAGGATGTAAATGACTTTCAGGTCCGGGCTGGTGCGAAACAGCTTCTCCATCAGCACTTTGCCCAGAAAGCCGGTGGCCCCCGTGATGAGAATGGACTTGCCGCCATAGAAAGCTGCAATCATGGACATGATTCCTCCCTTTCTTTTATAGATCCTGAAAGAGGTTCCTGAAAAGGAAGAGAAATAACAAAAGATTACATTTTTTAGAAGTTCTAATATTCCAAGTCACTTAACATGTTTCTGTTGCTTCCAGGAGTTTTGAATGCAGAAAAAAGTAGATCAGACAGTGAGAGCATGATGGCTTTTAGGCAATACGACTCATTCCAATCAATATTTATTGAGTTCTCTCTACATGCTAGACTTTATGCCAGGAACTGTGAGCAAGAAATGAGAAAGACATGGTTCCTGCTTTCAAGGAATTGCTTACAGTCTAATGGAGGAGGCAGACAATAAATAGACTGTTAAATACAATACAGTAAGTGCTAAAACAAAGGGAGACATGAAAGGGGTACATAGCAGCATCTGGAAATTTCAAAGTGTCTGTGGGTGATGACATCTGAGCTGAAACTTGGAAGGCAGAGAAGGGCTGGGGTCAGGGTGTCCCAGGCCAAGGAAAGAGCAAGGGCAAAGGTGCGGCGGTGTGGCACAGCGTGCTTAGGGGAAATAAAAGGATGCGGTGTTACATGATATAAATGAGAAGGTTAGGACTGGCCCTGCAACTTGTGAAACCAAAGCTTAGAACAGCTATCAAGTTTTTAAAAATTATGATGTGAGACCATACTGGCTAACACAGTGAAACCCCGTCTCTACTAAAAAATACAAAAAAACTAGCTGGGTGAGGTGGCGGGCGCCTGTAGTTCCAGCTACTCGGGAGGCTGAGGTAGGAGAATGGTGTGAACCTGGGAGGCGGAGCTTGCAGTGCGCAGAGATCCGGCCACTGCACTACAGCCTGGGCCACAGAGCAAGACTCCATCTCAAAAAAAAAAAAAAAAAAAAAATTGGAACAAATAATATAGTTTTGTTAATCTCTTCCTCAAGTTGAAAATGGGTCTAGGTCGAGTGCCACCTTTTTCCCCCTCATATGCTGTTCATGGGGTGGAGACACTGAAAAGCAAAGGTGGAGGAGGCTGAAAAGGGAGGCCACAGCCCACTGGCCTTGGTGTGCCCTGAAATAGCATGGGTTGCGATGCAGGGCTTGGTTTGTCCACATAAGTCCTGTGTTTGCAGAAGTGCTGAGAAAAAACGAATCTGGTAGTGAGAAGCCAGATGCAACTCTTGCTGCAGAAATGCAACATGAAGTGTTTTGTCTTTCAGTTCAGGTTGGAGATGATTGGAGACAGCAGGAGAGAGTTTTGAACTAAACAGTGCTGGAGGCATGGGGAAGATCTTCCTTTCTGTCCACTCACTTTGTCAGCTGTGGGAAGGCCTCAACTGCCTCTTTGGACGGGGTTTGGGTGGATCCTGCAGAACAGCTCCAGGGACAGGCCCTGACATCAGGGCTTATAAAGAAGAAAAAAACAACTAAAAGAGTCAATACCCTGCTCTTCAACTCTAGTCCTGAATGCTCTGCTAGTCCTTAAGCAACAATGACTCTTCTTAGTCATAATTTATATTTTGAAGATCTTGAGGCCATGTTCTTAGATGGAATTCTTTGCCTTTGGGGGATTATTTACTAAAAAAAAAATTTTTGAGTACCTACCATTCCAGACTCTATGCTAAGTTCTAAAGACATGCAGATGAACAAAGCAGACTGGTCCGTACTGTCACTCTAGCAGGGGAGGCCAGCAATGCAAAGTCAAATAAACATATAAACAAGATCATCACAGACTGCTGCACATGCTATGAAGTAACTAAAACAGGGATCAATGACAGAAATTACACCCAATCATCAATGCTATTCATTTTAGGAAATCTGGATTTCAAATCACATTAGCTGTGTTCACTGAGTTACTATTTGAGCTCCCTTTGTTGAGGGTGGATGAGAGAAATATTATGAACAACACTTTTGGATCTTGTTTTTGTCATATTACATAATGTTACATGAGTATATTACAATTCACCCAGGGACTTTCTCAATAATTTAGCACTCGGAAACAGTATTGAATATTCTTGCCTTGCCTGCTTTGAAGCTCAGAATAGTGTCCCCGAGTTAGGAGAGCAGAATAGCACCCAAGATTAGCATTCAATTCTAAGCAAGGCTGTCTGAAGTAAAATCCCAGTTCTACCGCTTATTAGCTGTGTGATCTCAGGAAATTACTAACCTCTCTTCAGTCACTCATCAGAAAAATATGGGAAATGAAAGTATCCACTTAATAGTGCTGTGGTAAGGATGGAATGAGTGAATACATGCAAAACCCTTACCAATACATGTTGCCTATAGCATAGACTTAAATATTGGCTATTAGCATAGTCACTGATTTTATATTTTTTCTTCTTAATGGTTTCTAGCTTTTTTTTTGGCATTTATTTTAAATGTCCTGTCTCGTACATTGTGTATACCCATTTTCTCTTGCAAATAAAAGGAGTCAATTTAAAACTTAATCAATCATAACAGCCAAGTATTTTCACCAAATATAACGATACTTCATGATAAATTTTGCCTATTTCTTTAAAAATGTTGAGGTATCCTACTTCTTTAATAGGATATTAGGCATAAATAAATGTGGTTGGCACAAAAATAGAAGGAAAATTGAGTTTGGAGAGGTTGACTTCCCAACCTCATTTGTTCTGAAGATATCACATGCTTCTCTTATCATATACTCTAGTAAAGTCATATTTACTAGAAATGGAAATATACTGTTAGGATATTTTGACCCCAGACACAGTTTTGCATTGTATGATCTAAAATTTTAGAGATTTCTATCTAAAGTAAGATATATCTAATGAGCCTATAGTGTTTACCTTTAGGTACATAGTAGGTATATATATTTATAAGGCACATGAGATGTTTTGATGTAGGCATGCAATGTATAATAATCACATCAGAGTAAGGGGGGTATCCATCACCTCAAACATTTATCCTTTCTTTTTGTTAAAACAACCCAATTATATTATTTTGGTTATTTTAAAATTTGCAATAAATTATTGTTGACTTAGTCACCCTGTTTTGATATCAAATACTAGGTCCTATTCACTCTGCTTAACTGTATTTTTGTTCCCATTACCCACTCTCTTCAACACTATCCCTCTTAGCCACTAATAACCATCCTTTTATTCTTTTTGTCCATGAGTTCAATTGTTTTCATTTTTATTTCCCACAAATAAGTGAGAATATGTCAAGTTTGTCTTTCTGTACCTGATTTACTTCACTTAACGTAATGTCCTCCATCCATGTTGTTGCAAATGACAGGATCTCATTCTTTTTATGGCTGAATAGTACTCCATTGTGTATATTTACCACATTTTCTTTGGTCCATTCATCTATGGATGGACACTTGGATTGTTTCCAAATCTTGGCTATTGTGAATAACACTGCAATAAATATGGGAGTGCAGATATCTCTTTGATATACTGATTTCCTTTTGTTGGGGTATATACCTAGCAGTGGGATTGCTGGATCATATGGTACATTTCTTGTTTTTTGAGGAACCTCCAATCTGTTCTCCATAGTGATTATACTAATGTACATTCCTATCAACAGTATATGATGCTTCAATTTTCTCCACATCCTCATCAGCATTTGTTATTGTCTGTCTTTGGATAAAAGCCATTTTAACCGGAGTGAGATGATATCTCACTGTAGTTTTGATTCGCATTTCTCTGATGATCAGTGATGTCGCACACCTTTTCCTATACCTGTTGTCCATTTGTATGTTTTCTTTTGGGAAATGTCTATTTTGATTTTTACCCATTTTTAAGTAGGATTATTAGATTTTGTTCTGTAGACTTGTTTGAGTTCCTTATATATCTGGTTCTTAATCCCCTGTCAGATGGATAGTTTACAAATATTTTCTCTCATTCTGTGGGTTGCTTCTTTACCTTGTTGTTTGTTTCCTTTGTTGTACAGAAGCATTTAAACTTGTAATCCCATTTGTCCATTTTTTGCTTTTGTTGCCTACATTTGTGGGTATTACTCAAGAAATCTTTGCCCAGACCAATGTACTGGAGACTTTCCCTGATGTTTTCTTGCAGCAGTTTCATAGTTAGAGGTCTTATATTTAAATCTTTAATCCAATTTGTTTTGATTTTTGCAAATGGCAAGAGATAGGGGTCTAGTTTCATTCTTCTGCATATAGATATCCAGTTTTCCCAGAACCATTTATTGAAGAGACTGTCCTTTCCCCAGTGTATGTTCTCACACCTTTGTCAAAAATGAATTTACTCTAGGTGTGTGGATTTGTTTCTAGATTATCTGTTCTGTTCCATTGGTCTATGTGTCTGTTTTTATGCCAGTAGCACGTTGTATTGCTTACAATAGCTCTGTAGTAAAATTTGAAGTCAGGCAGTGTGATTCTTCCAGTTTTATTCCTTTTGCCCAGGATAGCTTCGGCTGTTCTGGGTCTTTTGTAGTTCCATATAAATTTTAAGATTACTTTTTCTATTTCTGTGAGAAATGTCATTGGTATTTTGATAAGGATGGCATTGAATCTGTAGATTGCTTTGTGTAGTATAGGCATTTTAACACTATTAATTCTTCCAACACATAAACATGGAATATCTTTCCATTTTTGTGTGTGTCCTTGTCAATTTCTTCCATCAATGTTTTGTAGGTTTTATTGTAGCTATCTTTTATTTCATCAGTTAATTTGTAGGTATTTAATTTTTTGTTTGTAGGTATTGTAAATGGGATTACCTTCTTTTTCAGAGTGTTCACTGTGGGCATATAGAAATGCTACTGATTTTTGTATGTTGATTTTGTATTCTGCAACTTTACTGAATTTGTTTATCAGTTCTAACAGTTTATTGGTGGAGTGTTTAGCTTTTCAAGATATAAGATCATATAATGTGCAAACAAGGCTGATTTAACTTCTTCTCTCCAATTTAGATGCCTTTTCTCCCTTTCTCCTTCTCCCTCTCCTTTCTCTCCTTTTTTTTTTTTTTTTTTTTTTTTTAATTTTTTGAGACAGGATCCCACTATGTTGCCCACACTGCACAGTGGTCTCAAACTGTTGAGCTCAAGCAATGCTCCCACCTTGACCTCCCAAAGTGCTGGGATTACAGGCATGAG